CTTTTTGTAAATTTGGCATGAATTGTGCAAGTGAATCTTGACTTTCACTAATGAAGAGAATGTAGATCAACCAATGATAAACCAGTTCTCTGAAATAGCTCAAAGGTTCATCTCATGAATCTTCAGTTGGAGAGCATATACTGTATAGACAGAGGACAACACAAGAGTTAAAAATTCTGACAATAGACTTTCTTATTTTTTATTTTCATCTTTGTGCCCATATTTCTTTTTCCTTTTCTATATCACAATGACATTGCAATGTGTTTTATTTATTTATTTATTTTGGTCAGACCACTAGTAAAAGTGTAACTGGGAATTCTATCCAGTCTCTTTCAATCAATATCCCACATACAGTAATGTGTAAATTTGTACTTTTTAAATGAATATATGGCATACATAAGCATATGGCATACTGTTCAATACAGTAACTGTCATCCAAAATGTAGCCATAGTTTACATCAGGTAATACTAACTAAGTTATATTGACAACATGACTAAGCATTTTCTTGTTTGTGAACAATGACACAAGGACTTTTCATTCTGATGGCACTGATATGTTCATTGACATAAATACTTACTTTTGAGAGATGAACTAAAGATTTTGAGTAAGTTGCAGGCTTTTGCAGGTAATCCATTGTGTGGTGCGTGCTGTTCGAATTGTTTTGAGAAATGCACATACTTTTTTGCAAATATTAAGGATGATTTGAGAAATGCACCAAAGTGACTGAGAAAAACTGTAACATATTTAAAATGTGATTTAAAAAAAATCCAGGTCTTAGGTTTGCTGTACTTTTTTTGCACAATTTTGTGATTATATATCAATATGGCTATAAAATAATGATAATAATAATAATAATCAGTTTAGTAGTAGTAATTAATATCTAAAAAAAAAACTAAATAAAAACAAAATAAGAAATATTTCTATTGTAATATTTCATTATAAAACATTAAAAAAAAAAGAAGTATTTTAGAAAAAGAAAATTTTCTTAACTGTAAAATTACTTAACTGTAATATTAAATTGCTAATATTTATGGACATCTTTATTTCTTCATTTTCAAATGTTAAACCATCAAACTTTTATTTTGATGGTGCTTATATTTATTTAATTAAATCACAGCCTTTGCAATTTAATAATAGCACTAAGCCATATCGTGATTTCAGTTTTATTTCAATTAACCGTGCAGCCCAATTAGACGTCTGTGCATGGTCTGCTGTCACTTTAAGAGGATCTTATGTGTAGCGGTAATGACATTGAGTTGCTTCTCTATTGCAGCGTGAGAGTGTTTGACTTGCGTACGGGCTCCTCAGTCGTCTCTTTATATGCCCATCACATGGGTGTGACCACCGTCCAGGCAGATGATTGGAAGATCGTGAGCGGCGGCGGCGAGGGATTGGTCAGTGTGTGGGAGATGAGGATAGGAGCCAAACTCTGGGAAATGCACAACAGGTGAGAATGCTCAAAAAGGTAAGGCATTTCTTTAGCTCAAACAGTGGAGCATGGCGCTAGCAACACCAAGGTCATGGGTTTGATTCCTAGGGACTGATGACTGTAAATCACTTCAGATAAAAGTATCTGCCAATGCATACATTTGAAAATAAAACTAAGCATTTAAATATTACTAAGACATACTATTGGGAGTATATACTATTTATACGCTTTTTATGTAAGTAGTCTGCTATACTGTTATAAAGATCTCATTGATTTGCATTACAAGCCATCAGAATTTTTATCATACAAATATCAGCAGCTGCACCAAAATGCATATTTTTTGCTCCGTTTGGGCCACTGAATAACATTGAGGCATTTATTTCCTTCTTGAGTATGAGCTCATATTCTCCTATATCATACTATATGAGCCATGAAAGCCTGATGTATCAAATATGAGATTCAACAAAAACATTTTTCATTTACAAAAAATTGGTCTATTATGTCATATATCAGACTTTACAGGGTTAAGATGATCCTGATGTGATTGTTTTCAAAAGCAGAAGTGCCTGACAACACGTAATTGTTCTGTGTGCGAACAGACACCCGGTTCGCCACATACGGTTTAACACCAGCACCCTGGTGACGGCCAACGTCCCTGATGAGAAGAACCCTCGCGGGGCTTGTATCACAGACGATGACCTCACCGCTCACCGCAGGTAACAACACGTATTACTTTATGTTGTGCTGTCTTTGCTATTATGTTCCCACCTGTTTATTCTGTGCTTTTATTTTTCTTTAGGTACAGAGGGCTGATCTGTCACTATGATTTCTCTATGGACTCGTCGACCCCGGATCACGTTCTGCCCATCTGCAGGTCCAACTACACGGAGTCCTCTGGATACAACTATAACATAGGCTTGTCGATGCCGTATGACATACTGAAAAGCCCTTAGGTTGGCTTTCAGGATCAGTTGCAGTGGGAAGATTGATATTGAATTTGCTATTTTAAAATGATCCGGGGTCATATTCCTTTAAACTAATCAATAATACAATCAAAAACAGTGTAATTTCAAAGCTCTTTGTCTGGATGGCCCATTAAGATGTATGGACTAGAATTGTGTAAAAAATTTTGCTCATTTTAGTATACAATATTATAATATTAAATCACCATCTGAGAAGATGAAATACAAATGATACAAAATGGAAGTTTTGGTGGATTCATAACTCTCTGCAGTCAGTAATTCACCACACAAAGGTAGTATGATTTATTTATTTATTTCATATTTGAAAAGTCTCACCAAGGCTGATTTTATTTGATCTAAAGTACAGTATTTGAATATAATAAATACAATTTATTCCTGTGATGCAAAGCTGAATTTTCAGCATCATTACTCCAGTCTTCAGTGTCACATGATCCTTCAGAAATCATTCTAATATCTGCTGATTTGCTGCTCAAAAAACATTACTCATTATTATTTTTTGTTGAAGCAGTGATATATATTTTTTTCATAATGCTTTAATGAATAGAAAGTTCAAAAGAACAGCATTTATTGGAAATAGTAATGACATTTATAATGTTCAAAAAAATCAATTTCTAAAAAAATCAATTTAATGCTTCCTTGCTGAATAAAAGTATTAATTTCTAAAAAAACTAAACAAAACAAAAACTAAACTTTTGACCAGTAGTGTACATTGTAGTGCATTTATTTATGCATGTATTTAATCTGGTCTTGTTCCTTTCCTCTTGTGTAGTTTTGTTTTTCGAGCATGAGAACATGGCATATACCTAATTTGGCTTAAACCAAGTAAAAGATGAATTTGCACCATATACCACAGTTTGACTGAACACACAACCTAAATATGGTATGGAATGCATTTTGTAACCTTGCATAGATTCAAGATTTCTGACAGAATGCATCAAAGGAAAAACATTTACTTTTAAAACTGAATATTTTATTTGTTTCAATATAAAGAAAGGCGGTAAGACAGTCAGAGTGGTAAGAGTTTCAACTGACAATAATAAAAATATCATACTTTAATAAATGCTGTAAAACTTTACATACCCTGTAATACATTTTAATATATAACTTTAGTGGAAGGAGGCCAGATGGATTAAACATTATTGTAATAAGAGGGCAAATGCACAAGGGCAACAAAACAATCACTCCCTACTGTTTTTTAAGTGAATGATAAGATTTGTGGATTCATTAACTTAGGGTGTGGAGTGTTTCAGGTTTGATTGTTGATTTTGTAAAGACTTCCTCCATTATAAAATCAGCACTTTGCTCAGAAGGGAAATTTTACGTATATATACATACATGCATACATACATTATGTATGTATGTGTGTGTATATATATATATATATATATATATATACTTTGTGTATACACATATACATATATTTGGCATGTTTGGTTTGGTTTGGACTCTGAAATGTAGTCATGTTCACTTGTAGACATGTCCATATCTTGATCATTGGAGATATTTCAGAGAAAGTTAACTCAATACTACGAGTTGAATACGTGGGACAAATTTTACACATTTAGGTCTAAAATAAAGACTGTGCTGACTATAAAGTAATGTTGTGAAGCGGAAATGACTCTCATTTCCCACATTGCATTGTCCTGGTGTCCAAGTTCCAAAAGTGAATATTCATCTTGGTCTCGATCTCTACATCTTTCAATATCTGCGGGAGAGACAGTTAAGTGTGAGGTATGAGCAGCATGCATGTTTTACCATTATATTTAATTATAATTCATATTGTAGAGAGCAAACCTGCATGAACTGTTCAAAGGTGATTCCCTCATAAAATTCATCAGGACCCTAAAACAAAAAAAGTACCAGATCAACAGGTATCAAAATCACATTAGAGCTTTAAAATGTCCAATCCCATCATGGTTTGCCAGCCTACCATCTGACCCACAGTGACACTCGCCACCTCCAGCATTGCAGCATCTGAAATGGCTTTGGCGGTTTCTGCTCCTATGGTTTCATAGCTGGACAGCAGCTCCTCCACCACCTAGAATCACAGTCACACAGCGGTCAAACAAGCCATGACTGCGTTTGTAGTTTTATATCAAATAAGAAATGAATCTTACACGTCTGTATTCGTCCAGCGTGATGATGCCGTCATTGTCAGTGTCATGCATGTTGAATAGAACTACAGAGAAGAAGATGTGCTTTTACCAAGAAGTTTATCAAAATGAAAATGTAAACCTCCAAACTATATTAATGCTGCAAGAAGTTGCCAAAAATAGTCTTTCAAAATTATAAATGTTAAAAGGGAAGTGGTGAGGCTTAACCTTTGTTTAGAAATAAAATAAATATTTACTGAAATAAAAGAAACATAAAAAATGCATTTATTTCAGCTATTTGCCAAGGCAAAATTTTTCATTTCTGTTTAGTTTGTGTTTACATAATATATGTGTGTGTACTGTGTAATATGTATATGTAATATAATTTAAATCATATATATATATATATACACACACACACTACCAGTCAAAAGTTTGGGATAAGAACAACTTTTAATGTTTTTTACAGGAGTTTCTTATGCTCATCAAGGCTGCATTTATTTGATCAAAAATACAGGAAAAATTGTAATATTGTGAAATATTATTACGATGTAAAATAACGTTTTTCTATTTTAATATTCATTAAAATCTAATTTATTCCTGTGATGCAAAGCTGAATTTTCAGCATCATTACTCCAGTCTTCAGTGTCACGTGATCCTTCAGAAATCATTCTAATATGCTGATTTATTATCAGTGCTGGAAACTGTCGTGCTGCTTAATATATATATATTTGGAATCTGTGATTTATATTTTTGAATAAATGCTGTTCTTTTTAACTTTTTATTCATCAAAGCATCCTGAAAAAAGTATCGCAGTTTCCAAAAATTGGAAAAAAATATTTATATATACACATAAATATACACTACATATATTATGTAAATAAACTTTTATTTTGGATTTGATTAATCGCGATTAATCGATTTGACAACACTATTAGATACTAAAATAACTAAAAATAACCCAAACATATATATAGTGTCTACATCTATATTTTAATAAAAACTATGTACAGTAGATATATATAATAAAAAAAAACTAATAATAAAATAAACACAAAATTACTCAAATTTCCTAAATAAAATGAAGACAAATTCAAATTATTAACAAAAACTTATAACAGTATATCGATGATACTAAAATAACACTGATATGTGTAAAACTTGCACAGACTTCAGCTTGCTTGGATTGAAAGAACATCTGTATTCTCACAGCGTAGTTTCTCCTTCTTGATGTTTTTCATGTCCTCGTCTGCAGTGCGTGGTTTGGGTGGTCTGAAGAAGGACAGGACCGTTACGAATTCCTCAAAACCGATCTCCTGCAGACAGCCCTTCCCTTTTTCACCCATGTTCCTGCATGAAAGCACACAGACATTAGCACTCAGTATGTTTAGAAGCATGACAGAATGATTTGATTAAAGTTGGATAGATACACCCCTCAAAATAAAGGTCTGAAAAGGGGGTTTTCACAGCAATGCCATAGAAGAAGCATTTTTGGTTCCCCGAAGAGCCCTTCAGTCAGCAGTTTTCAAAAGAAGTAAAGAACCATTTTTTGTTTCTTAGTGTGAAGAACATTTCAACAATCCAAAGATCCACTTTCCACTATAAAGAACCTTTTGTGGAATGGAAAGGTTCAATGGGTGTTAAAGGTTTTTCATGGAACCATCAATGCCAATACGTCCAACTTTATCCGCATACAGTATACTCGTGTAGAGGGAGTGTATCTCAGCAGCTTTGCAAAATGTAAACTATATTATCACCCAGCTCTGCTCAATGTGACTATAGGGCATGAATATATTAAGATATTATAAATACTAACATCATGATTTTCAAAAAAGTATCGCAGTTTCCAAAAATTGGAAAAAAATATTTATATATACACATAAATATACACTACATATATTATGTAAATAAACTTTTATTTTGGATTTGATTAATCGCGATTAATCGATTTGACAACACTATTAGATACTAAAATAACTAAAAATAACCCAAACATATATATAGTGTCTACATCTATATTTTAATAAAAACTATGTACAGTAGATATATATAATAAAAAAAAACTAATAATAAAATAAACACAAAATTACTCAAATTTCCTAAATAAAATGAAGACAAATTCAAATTATTAACAAAAACTTATAACAGTATATCGATGATACTAAAATAACACTGATATGTGTAAAACTTGCACAGACTTCAGCTTGCTTGGATTGAAAGAACATCTGTATTCTCACAGCGTAGTTTCTCCTTCTTGATGTTTTTCATGTCCTCGTCTGCAGTGCGTGGTTTGGGTGGTCTGAAGAAGGACAGGACCGTTACGAATTCCTCAAAACCGATCTCCTGCAGACAGCCCTTCCCTTTTTCACCCATGTTCCTGCATGAAAGCACACAGACATTAGCACTCAGTATGTTTAGAAGCATGACAGAATGATTTGATTAAAGTTGGATAGATACACCCCTCAAAATAAAGGTCTGAAAAGGGGGTTTTCACAGCAATGCCATAGAAGAAGCATTTTTGGTTCCCCGAAGAGCCCTTCAGTCAGCAGTTTTCAAAAGAAGTAAAGAACCATTTTTTGTTTCTTAGTGTGAAGAACATTTCAACAATCCAAAGATCCACTTTCCACTATAAAGAACCTTTTGTGGAATGGAAAGGTTCAATGGGTGTTAAAGGTTTTTCATGGAACCATCAATGCCAATACGTCCAACTTTATCCGCATACAGTATACTCGTGTAGAGGGAGTGTATCTCAGCAGCTTTGCAAAATGTAAACTATATTATCACCCAGCTCTGCTCAATGTGACTATAGGGCATGAATATATTAAGATATTATAAATACTAACATCATGATTTTCTGTCAAGCTGCTTTGAAACAATGTGTATTGTAAAAGGCACTATACAACTAACTTTGACTCGACTTGATTTGAATTTGACAGGTATTCCAGAGGTTCCCAGTACACATTTTGAATGTCTCCCTAATGTGACGCCTATGGAGCCGATGATTTGATTCAGGTGTTTGATTAGTGTGCTTTGTTGGGGTAGCTACACAAGAGACTGAGCTGGGAAATACTGCGGTAAACTACTTACTAAGGTAGGTTTATTTCTGAAAGTCCGTTTCAGTGTAGACCGTGTATCTCAGCTTTTTGCGCAGAGACAACTGTACGAAATATTTCTAGTTTGTTCATGTTAATTCATGTTCATGTTTGTTAAATAGTA